TGTGTGTGTGCACAGTCCACTCGATGCAGGCAGTCCGTCGCCTAACACCCACCAACTAGAGTCGCCACCCCGCTTAGCCCGATCACACAAGTTGGGTTCGCCCATGCCCCGCAGTCCGTTGCGGCAACACGTCAACCCCGCACGATCACCACCAGCCCGTCGGATCACCCAACTCTTCTACTCACCTCACAATACCTGCAACCTGCTAGCCGGTCCTCACGGTCGCAATAACTCCAAAAGTTAGATTAGAGAGAGATAAAGCCGTGTTTCCTAAATTTATAGCGGAGAATGCATGCCCGAGATAATCGAGATAAGGCGAGAGGTAAAGAGAAAGTGCCTACGAGCTGCATATCTGGACCGCGGCGTGGGGGACTTAGCCACACTCCAGGCATCGATCCCGGTTGCATCATTTCGTTCAATGAGAGGAGGGAGAAGTAATAACATGCATGGACGCCAAAAAGAGCAATGGGGGAAGGGAAGGTAGTTCCACCCGATGATCAACAACAAGAAGGATGTCGGGTGAAAGTTGAGAATAGAATTGAGGTGCATTGCAAGAAAGCGTGAAGCACTACATGCGCGAGCAAGAAGTAGAGTTCAGTTACATCTTACACCTAAGCAGAAATCAGCGAGCCCGAAATCTCAAGCTAATTAAAATCTTATTTCCGAAGAAAAAGTCCCATTCACTTGCACGAGCTACCCCGCGGCCTACACGAATTCAAAATTTAAATCGCCCCAATATATTCCGCCAAGCCATGAAAAAAAATTGAAGTGAAAAGAAAAAGAGAGACACCAAGCCATGCAAAAATTCCAAAGTGAAAAGCCAAACAAAGACATTGCGCCAAATTTCCCACTGAGCAACACAAAACTTCCGAAGTGAAAAGGAAAAGAATGACACATCATGCCCAAGAGGGCTAGCTCAGTTGGTTGAGCACGTAAGTGGGGCACTCAGGAGGTCGTGGGTTCAATTCCCAATGTCGTCCTTTCGATCCATGCGGCCTCCTGGGGGATATGCTCGGGTTCACCAACGGAGAGTGCTGGCTTGGGCCTCCTGGCTGGTTGGGAAAGTATTTGGCTCATTCCAGCCCGCGCCAGGAGTTAGACAGCTTGGGTACTGATCCCCGCACTGAGCAGAGATAGCACAAAGCAGAGAGATAGATAGGCGTAGACCCATAACCTTAGGCTAGCTTACGTCTCGATCTCCATAGGTAGTGTCTGTTGCTCAAGGGTAAGGTATATAGATATGGGTAGCCAGAGGAAGGTAAGCGAGAAGAAAATAGGATAGGTAAAAGAGACAACTGTTCCCCATATGAGGAGAAGACAGCTTTATTATTATTATTATTATTATTATTATTATTATTATTATTATTATTATTATTATTATTATTAATCAAACCAGGTCCTTATGGTCCTGGCTCCATTTCCATTCTGGGGAGCGTCAGTCCGATTCCTTTCCACCGGCAAGTCAAATATTGAAATACATGGTGAACACTCTCACGCTTCCTCCCATCTGGCCGAAGGAACCCTGACCAGCATTGATTGCTCCTTTTTTGGAGGATTGACTGTCAGCTTGCCCTACCCTGGTTCTCCTCTCAGACCTCCTTCTGGGTCTGTCAAATATGACTCAAAGAAACGAGAAAACTGGAAGAGTTATCTATCCTCCTGAGCCTACAGTCTCAATTTTGTTGTCGTCATCCCCCTCCTTTGCATCAACCTTCGGGTCCCACCATCTTGAGCAGCAGGGTCCTTGTTTCTTTCCTTGTCAGCTCTGAACCCTTGATTGTCTTGGAGCACCTACTTTTCCCGATGACCGGTAGGGCCAGTATCCTGAGAATGTGTAGAACCGGCTGCCATATTTGAGCATTGAAGAACAAGAACCCTTAGGGACCGTCTGTCTGAGACTCCCAGTCCTTTCGTGTGTTGTTCCCCATGTGAAAACTTCCCATCCTCTCTCTGTCATTCTGTCGCATGTAGGGCGACTGCTGAAGACTTACCAGCTTTATTTTTATTATTAACATTTTCACACACAAAAAAAAATAATATTTTATTCACGCTCGCTAAGGCGCGTCCCAACTCTCAAGAGTCAAAACGAAACAAGTCACAAGTTGCAAAAGTATCCTTCCTAGATTACACTTGGACCATCGTAAATTTGCAAAAAGAATTTCAAAAGATAGAGGGGCAATAAGAAAGATCAGCCCCGCAAATGTGAACAGGCCCATCTCTCGGGCCAAACACCGACCGCACAGAAATCTGCGCACAGACAGATCATCGTCCATCACAGCCATCCTCTGTCAACCTCACCCACCCTCAGTAGCCAATCTTCACCTTCACCTTCACCCTCCACCATATTTCATCCTCACCTACCCTTTATAACTGACCTTCACCTTCACCTTCACCCTCCACCCTGCTTTTACCTCATCCACCCTGCATAGACATCCACCTTTTTCAACCTTCACCTTTTTCCACCTTCACCCAGCCACTATAGCCATCCACCTCCACCCTTCACCGTCATACACCCTAAGTCTAAGTCCAAAGTCTAGGTCTAAACTAACTAAAGTCTAGGTCTAAACTAACTACGCACTCTCACTTCAACTCTAAGTTCTAGACTAATCTATTCTTGAAGGAAGGATACGGGACAAGGAAGGGACAACTTGAGATGACTTCTATACTAGGTGGAGGGAGGAGGCAAGGAGGGGACAGCCAGTTCCTTGCACGATCAAGAGAAGGTAAGGAAATAGATGAGGAAAGCTTGTGCAGGCCAGAATAGAGATCCGGTAGGATAAGGCCTGTAGGAACAGTGGGAGCCCCTAGTAGTCAGTAGGCAGAGGTTCGCCACATGTCAAGTCCTGGTCAAGTCACAGCTCAGTCCCGAGAAGGGCCTAGGATGGTCCAAATCTTTGTCAGCCGCAGCAATACCCGACAGGACCGATGACACAAGCCACAAGGGAGGTAGGCATGCACAAAAGGGAGGCTGCCATCAGGAACCTCCTCTTCTCCGATTCAGGCTGTGTGGACACACTGTAGCGTTATTGTGCGCCCAAGACCCTGGATGTGTGAACAGTGCCAGGCAAGGAAGATAGTCAACGGCACGGGGCGCCATAGCTGTACGAGAGAGCAGTAGCGAAGGAGAGAGTGAGCAAAGACTTTCAGACCGACTGACACACACACACACACACACACACACACACACACACACACACACACACANAGAGAGAGAGAGAGAGAGAGAGAGAGAGAGAGAGAGAGAGAGAGAGAGAGAGAGAGAGAGAGAGAGAGAGAGAGAGAGAGGTACCCGCTTGTTGTTGTTGGCGGCGGCCATGACCACAAAGCTTGCAAAAACTGTGTATGTAATGCCCTGCACGATTGCAGACTGAGAAATCTGCTGTTTTCTGAGTATTGCTGCGTGCTGGACTGATATGCTAAGATTTGCGTGTTCTGCTGAGTGCTTGCTGATATCCCGAGTGCTTGCCATTTGCCTGAAGCCCCATATGTGTGTGTGTGTGTGACCCCCTCTCGAGGGCCTGTGGGTTGATATGGCCCTCAGGCCCGATGCTAACCCGTGGCTGTGTCTCTTTTGGGGTTGCAGTGGGGGAGGTCGGGTAGAAAGAGGTCTGCGGAGGCCAAAGGCAAGAAGTAGGCCGTGGTAGCCTTTTTAGAGTCTGGGAGGCTTAGAGTAAGGTACCTGTCTGGTAGGACTATGTCCACAGTCTGTCAAGGAGGATATCGAACTGCAATGATGTGTCCTGCAGAAACGGGCAGGGGAACTGGTAGGCCGAGAGGGGCTGGAAAGTCACACGAGGGAGTACAGCGGGTGGTACGTGAGGAGAGAGAACTCAATCTCATTTGGCATGAGTGCAGCTTGGAGGCACGCTGCTGGAGCAACCGCCTGGCTGAAGCAGCGCTGGGTGGAGGAAGGAGGCAGAGCTTGGCCGCCACCTCGACTATGGTGGAGGTGACCAAGGCAGAGGTGGGAGAAGCTGAGGCCTGAGGAGGAGGAAGGAGGAAGAAGGAAGGAGGAAGGAGGAAGGAGGAAGGAGGAGGAAGAGGAAGGAGGAGGAAGAGGAAGGAGGAGGAGAGTGAAGGGAGCTTACCTTGGGCATGGTGGTCTGCATCTTTATCTTCTAGGTTGGCACTGCATCTGGAAGCCCCAAGTGGGCAGTACTCATAAGGAAGACTCCAGAGGTGGAATGTGGCATGGCGGCCATAGTATACCGAGTAGAAAGAGAAGGTGTAGGATGGCCATGGTGGACTTCTTGTGTGGCTGGCAGCAAGGGGAGGCTTTGGACATTGATTCTGGTTCATTCATTCATTGTTGTTGTTATTATTAATATTAATATTAAAAAATTATAAAAATAAGTTGTCAGAGGAGACACTGGGGTTTGAAAATGGTGGCGAGATGGAGAGAGACTGACATTGGTCTTTGCATGTATTCATCTTCTTCTTCTTCTTCTTCTTCTTCTTCTTCTTCTTCTTCTTCTTCTTCTTCTTTGGTCTATTTCTCTTTCCAATCCCTTTCATTTCAGTTGCAATTAAACGGCATTGTCTTTCTTTGAACTTTTGCACTGTGAAATAGGCAGGATCTTAACATGTACATCATCTCAAGTTGTAAATAAGTTCCAAGTGTATTTATATCGCGTGGATCTTGCTTGCTTGATGTGAATCTTGAGTGTGATGCATGCATGAAGTTTGAAGCAATAAAGGTAAAGGCAGAAGCTTTTCAATTATTATAAGAAGAAAAGAAGAAGAAAGAAGTTCAGGTTCAGGATGTTCATCAAAATATGGGTTGATCAGACTTGATCTTCAGCATCCCTTAGATGAAAATCCCTATGAAGTTATGAACCTACGAGGATGGAATGATTAGTTTTCCAGCCCTTTCTAAACCACCTCTTATGGAAATGTGTTGCTTGCATACTTGCCAGCTCCATCGCACACTCCACATGGATCGACCAAGCCACTGCTGCAGCAATATCCATCCTGACATGGCACATTTGAGAAAGGGATTCGGATTAACATAACATTTGACCCGTCTTACCTTAACTCCATTTCATAATTTATACTATACTGTGTTCATTGCGAATTGCTTCTTCCCAATTGCAACGTTTCGTAACTTTCATTGTTATAATTGAAATTTAGACATTCACAGTATGACCACACAAACATAATGCACGGTGAAATTGTTTTGTCATACGGGTAACATCGACATTCCTGAGGAAAAAGTGGCATATTGAGGGTATCTTCACAGACTGGGCCCAAGGAGTATCAGGCCCCTTCGCAAGGATGACACACATATATTGAATAATGCTTTGAAATTCCGACAATGAAAAAAGAAAAGGACAAATGCTGAATCTAGGCAGACCATATCTAGCTTCTCAATTGTCGTTGTCATCATCGTTTTTATTACACAGTCATGATGGACGGTGGATAGCACAGGATGCAGAGAAGCTCACTCAATGAAACCAGATGGTGTCCAATGACCAATTCCGTTACCCCACTCACAAATTGCAAGTCTTGGCATTGGTATCGTAGAACTTATGGAATGACATTGCTTGATGTGCTCTGTACAGCTCATCCCCAGACATGAGCTAGCAGACTCATATCAGACCACCACCAATCAAACTCACAAAGAGTGATGAAAGACACATCGCAAGTTGCTCCAGACTGAGCAGACTCCTTGCCAATCTCCTCCCCTTACCATGGGTTAGAGATGAACAGCAGGACCAGACCAGCGACCACGCCAAACACACATCTGCACACACCCTACGCACAAGGCAATCGGCTGGGTCTAAGTGTAGCTAACCCGATCTCGGTATATATATATATTGTCACATCACTACAAACTAAAAGAGCGCACTTTGCGGAACAAAGAATAAAAGCAAAAAACGGGCACAGTGATAACATGCAAAAATAAAAACAAAAAGAAAAAACAAGGGCAGATTGAAACCATTAAATTTCTCATTCTTCTTTGAACTCCACCTCCACTGTGCCTCTCACGTGCAAGGCTCGCCACGTTGATGAAGTTGAGCGCGAG